GAAAGAAGTAACTCAATACATGCAGACACTGAATATACAAGAACCAATAAAAAAATATCACCGGAAATAGGTTGCAAAAGAGAAGTTAGTACAAAAAAATTTTTCTGCAAATCAATTTACAAACCCCTCAGGAAACATATAACATGGAGCGAGAAGGAATCGGAATTGCATCCACAAATATTGCAGACCTCGTAACAAGTTCTGTAAGAAAAATAAAAAAATAAAATAAATAGAAAACATCTCACACGTTTCCTCATTACAGAAAATTATCAAAATTTATAAAAACAAGCTTCTGTTCTATTGAAAGTAAATTCATAAAAATAAACATTAAGCGATTGAAAACTCGTATATCTTTCGCTTTCACTCAAATTCAAACAAACATCTTAAAATGAAGAAAAATGACAGGATGAATAATTTGATACCTAATGAAAACAACCTTTCAACATTAAAAATGTTATAAAAGTTGGTTAGCACGCAACAGCTTAACGATTAACATCACTTACTTACTTCCTTCGTTATAAAATAAGGATTTTTGAATATCCACCATCAATTTTTAGAGATAAGCCAATTGATTCTAACTACAATGTGCACAAGTGCATAACCTACGATTTATAATGTAAATTATTAAAAGAACTTTAAAACAACCAAAAAAAATCTTGGAGCATTTGATTATAAATTCAGCACAAAAAAACCACAAGCAATTCCGACCTGAATATTTACAGTTTTAGCCGTTTTAATCCGTCCTTTACAAAAAGACAAATAAATAAATAAATACCCTTTTGTCAGTCTATCAAATCAGGATTTATTACATCGCATCGATCTCCACGACAATGTGGGCAATACCATTTACCTTTCGGCTTTTGCCTCAGTTGGACGCATGGGAAATGATACCATTCGTTACATTTTTTATTCTCACAAAGGATCATATCACCATAAGAAACCTGAAGAAATAATTCAAATTTAAATAATGCAGAGGAGATTAAAACAAGAAATTTGTGCCATGATAACGAAGAATTGTTTAAACAAAATTAAGGTGAAGGGTTCTTTATTCATACTATATTATATTACGGATAAGCAACATACATGTGTATATACTTACTTGCCGACATAAACAATACAAGGTATCGAGAACATTTTCGCCCTCTACTGTTTCCGTTACAACAGAAGTTACTTGACGGGGTTTCCTCGGCAAACGCGGTCTTCCTGCACCACGTTTCTTTTGTATCGAACGTCCTTCGCTCATTTCCGGTACTTTTATTTTCTTCCGACGTCCCGATAAATACTAGACAGAAGCATATCACAAATCAAAAATTCAAAATTAGCTGTTAAATGACCTTAGAGAAGATTACAAATGGCAGAAAGTTATGAATACTAGCTTACATATATGAAAGTAACAGAACATTGTTAATGAAATTCAGTGGTCCAACAGAACATAGTATGAATAACTAATTGTTCAAATAACAATAACCAGGTACCGCTACTAACATAAAACCAATTATTAAATGATAAGAGAGCCTATTTGCAACTTATGAAGAAAACATCATATAGGAGCAGATCTTTTAAATAGAGTGTCAGAAAATTTCATGAAATAAGTGCCAACCTGATCTGATGCTATCGGTGGAGACGGAGAATCTTTTGTTTTTCCTTTTATGACAGATTGCGATCGTGTGTCCCTTTCGATCCGACGTATATTTTCTTTTGTAATTGGAGCCTGACGTTTCGATCGAGGTCCTTTCGATTTGGTTATCTGCTCTACAAGAAATGAAGTTTCGTAATAATTAATGGATTAAAATTCACCACTGAAATAAATAATGCCGTTTAAATTGAGTTGTACAAACAACTGGCAAATTTGTACAACATATGAAAGAGACACCTAATATCTGAACGCCGAATGAAAAAAATTTGAGGATGGTCAGTTGTGCATGCTAGAAACAACGCTTAAAAAGACCATATCACTGCACTGCGGCAGCTTTATAATAGAAGAAATTACGCTGGGATATTTGTACCCATGATATTAAGCAGGCAGGGAAGTTATTTTTAATGAAACGCATTCTTCGAATAAAATTTTCTCTTCCTCCCTCTCTTTGTCATCCTGTCTTGTTTTTTTCTCTCCTCATTTTTTCATTTTCCGTTTTTCATTTTCATTTTCAACTTCTTCTGCTTTCTAATTATAAGCCACTGACTTCTCCCTCTTCCTCGTGTTGCTACTTTCAGCGCCTTTCCCTTTTCGACAACAGGTTCTAAATTAATGAGATCCTATTCAATCATTTTGAACTTCATTGTTCAGTTTTTTAAACTGTAAAACTCTTTTTTTGCAACCACTTTTTCAAAAAATTGCACAGCAAAGTATTTTTGCAACCAATAAAAGCTTATTTTCACTATTTCTAAAGTTGGCAAGTTCTCGAATTAAAAATTTTTCAAATTAAAAGCCCTTACGCCTGCTTTGCTGTGGGTCACTTTGTCGACCAATTAAATTCTGCAACTTCGTATCCACGTCAAACATTACGCCTGACTTCCAAAATGCTAGGTGTTGTGCCATACGTAGTTCGTTTTCCAAGGTATCGAACAATTCATCAATTTGTTCACGATTCATTTCTGTCTTAAATTTTGATCATGAAAAGCTTCCATTTTCAATTGTACCATTAGATTAAAAAAACAAAAGAAATCTTGCTTTTGTGAATAATTGGGACAGGTGAGCTTTATTGTAAGGAACCAGTTTAAAAAAATTTACACTCTCTTAAAAATATAGAAAAAATAATACGACAAACGAATTTCGTATTTTATTATATAAATGAAATACTAACCACTCCTTCATTTAAAGTATCTTGAATTCTCTCTACCTCTCGCATGACCGCTTGATAGGTGACATCCAACTCAGCCATTCTTTGCAACGGTTTCTGAATTTCCTTCACATTTAAGGAAAAAGTGCTGAATGTCAAACTGTGAAAGCCACGATAAAAATAATTTGTGGCTTCACCAAAAAAAAAAACAAGCTTTGATAGAAAATATTCCGGTGTATTCTTATTCCATAAATTTACTTTCGAACTAAATAATAACAATATATCTTATACGTGGTACACCGATGATAAAATCATCACATCGATAAAACAACTGTGTCAATCAACATCTGCAAATTTTAATTTGCCATTACCTGTCATCCAGTACAAGCAATCTATATAATGTTTTAGCGCTAAAGAATTCTCTCCCCTTAAACAGTCTTTACTGCTACCTTAAATTTTGAAAACCTTTAATATCTGAAGTGTTACAACCTGGACTATATCCAATGCATCAAATAGGCGTTTAACAATATCTTTCGCATTTGGTAGTACATTGTCGAATCCTTCGTAACTTGTAGACGGCTTAGGTTCATCCATCTCAAATGTCAACAATCTCATCTCATTATATCACGATAAACTGAGCTATTTTACAAAAGCTAAAATCCAATAAGTGATGCGCAACAAACACCATGAAACTGAAAAAGTGTTTTAACATAATCAATACAAGGAATTGTGCATTGCATGCACTACCGAACACATATGGAAGAATAACGGCTATCAATTCCATGAAATCTTCTCTCGCCACGATAATGCGCTAAAAGTAATGTGATAGCAGCGGGATACGATAAAGTTAACCCCACAAGGTCTGAAGTAATTCGAGAAAGAACTTGATCGCAATCTATGAGATCAAATTGTCTACATTATGTAAATGATGAATGCCGGCTAATAAAACTGGATCGTAAAAAATTACCATGAATTTTCTAAAAATAATACAACAAAAAAATGGAAAGTGCAATATATGTGCGATCGATGCACCGAGCGATCAACCAGCACAGCTCATTCTGCAGTTACAAAAAAAAGAAGGCGAAGACGATAACGATGAATGTATCATTAAAATCCAAAAAAGAGAAATTTTACTAATGAGAAAGTGCATACAAATATTTGGAAGCACCCATTCCGAAAGATACCTATTTTTATTCGGTATCGGCAAATTTTAGAAGCATCATAACCAGCTCTCATCAATATTTGAACAAAGACTGACAATTGTATTCTACTGGCACAATATACCACCTAGTCAATTTAGCCGCCAATTTATCCAATCAGTTAAGTTACCTTACTCAAGCCCAATACCATTATGCGATACGAAATGTCGCAAATGGTATTTGCGCCCTGACATGAAAGTGTGCCCATCAATGGTACAATCTCTAGTTCGAAATGAAAATTATTCATCCTAAGACATAATAGGTGTCTTTTTCATATATTGTACAACTCGATTTAAACGGCATTATTTATTTCAGTGGTGAATTTCAATCCATTAATTATTACGAAACTTCATTTCTTGTAGAACAGATAACCAAAACAAAAGGACGTCGATCAAGGCTCCAATTACAGAAGAAAATATACGTCGGATTGAAAGAGACGCAATCTGTCATAAAAGGAAAAACAAGCGATTCTTCGTCTCTTGTGTTTTT